GTGATTTAACGCGACAGGCGCCAACCAATGTCATCGGTGGGACATCCATCCTCACACTTGACTGGATAGACCTCACTGTGGTCACGACTTCTCACTAGAACTCCAAGAAACTCTGTCCTGTAACAAGTCACTGGCGGGCATCAGATTAATGGTATACGAGCTTGCCTTGTAACCGGAAGGTCGTGGGTTCGAACTCCCTGTGGTGGATGCGTACTGCCAATGATGGTCAAACTGGGATGAAACAGCTGTGCAGTACTCCCTGTGGCTGGTTTTCAATGGTTCTCTTTAACTGATATCAATCTGTAGTGGAACTCGTATAAACAAATCTCACTCTTACAAACCAGCCTCTTGAAAGTAGTCTACTTTTGTTGAACACTCTAAACAGAGTGTACTTTTCATCAGAATAATTTTAGTGATTACGTTCGTCTAAAGTTCATAGTCGTAGATAACTGACTGAATATGTAAAAATATGTATTGTCGTGGTATACAATGATATGTGTGCTTGTGTAAATGCGGCAACAATTCTAAATCATTTGTTATCACCTCCATAAGAAGATATAGGCAATCGCGAATTTAGATCAAATATGATAGATTAATGATACATATTCATTTTTATTTACTAATCGGGATTTGCCATACACCAGGTAATACGATACCTTCACGTCTCTTCAAACTTTTGGGGTTCCACAATAGATGTAGGGCTTCTGCATTCAGTCTTTCTTTATACGAACCAAAACCTTTCTGTAGAACATTAGTCCTATCAAAGTTGATCTTGTATCCCGTTTCTATCGAGCGCAGCCGGGACTCTAAAAATCAATGGCTGGAGACAATAGGTGACATGGCTCAAAATCGTTGTCAATGGCGCAGATGTATTCAGTCTCTGTAATCTTTCGTATTCCTTTCTATCATTACCCATTCTGTTTCACTCTTATACCTGTCAAAACTCTATTGATTCTCTTCACTCATTTTCTTGTCTACCTTTGTGTGCTCTTTGGAACGTGGCAACTCGAACTGCTGCACTTCGGTGCCAAGTTCTATGTTGAATCCAGCCAGCCAGCCATCGAGCGCAGTGCAATCGCTGATCAATTTTCTAGCTTCTTCAAGCGTGCAGAGATCTTTGGAATCACTTTTAGACATTGTTTATGCTCTTTTGTTCACTCTTATATTTACCTATCTGGAAGTTTCCCCAACATATACGCTATCACAACTTTGTTTATTATATTCTGATGACTGTTTCATGACTTATATGCTTGGACAAAGCTTTTTTTAAAAACAAGAGATGTCCTTTTCATATATACACCTCTGTTATTTTAATTTCGATTAATTTCCCTGAAGAAGTTCGAACCGGTTTGCTAAACGAAACGTTGGAGCTACACTCATCATTTCGATTTCGCTGAGGTTTTACAAATATAACCTTTACAATTTGTCAACCGTATGCATTTTCTCACATTAACATCTATGGAAGCATGTCTACATGTCAAAGACATTGTAACGATGAATTTCTGGGTGTCAATACTGAGTATGTCCAAATTACAGCAATGTGCTTATCAACTATGATAGGGAACACTAAAGAGAGCTGCTTACTTAACACGTTATTTTTGTTTATAGGGTCAACTGCCTTCTAGTTAATGTGACATAATAATTATCCAGACAAGTTCATTAAGAGATTTAAAGTAGTCAGAACACCAAAACACACTCTCCAACTCGCCCCTGAGAAAGACGTGTACATCAAGCTACCATATATGGGGCACCATAGTAGCTTGATAACTAGACAAAGATTGAACGCTGCTGTAAGAAAGACATTTTATGCAGCTAATATCATAACAATTGAGAATGTGAAGCCAATATATCCATCCATCTAAGCCATTTGAACACGCGAAAAATGATGTCACATCCCACTGTGTATTTACCAATTTGAAGGTACGTGTGGACATACTTACATAGGGAGGACTCATCGATCTCTGCAAGTAACGGCTGGCTTCAGAGCATATTCCTAAATGGCTCCAGAAACAAATAGAATCTCCAGAACCCATTAATGGTGAGAACAGATGACCTGGCTCCTCTATTGCGAAACATATGATAGAGACAGGACAGAAAATTGACATTAACACATCTTTTAAACCTATCTATGAAACGTGTTTAGGGGAGGGCGTATCCTAAAGTTTGTGGAAGCCCTAGCTGCCAATTAGGAAGTTTAAACCATCTTTATGCGTTCAAAGCAACAATCTGTCATCACATTAAACCAACTTCCTTGGTAAACTTTGGTTTGATACTAGCCAGAGTAGATGTACTTTTACCTCTGTTATTTGGTTTAGTGGTCATTACTATTATTTGACCTTTAATATGTTCTTTTAACTTGAACTAAGTCTATTTTCTGACCTCTTAATTCTTTATTAATTCTATGTACATTCCTATGACAAGTCCGTGTGTAATGGATCCGATTGTTCGAAATGTGTTGCGCAAATACATTACCAACACGACTCAGACAAATTACATCTTCTTATTGATTTGTCCAAAATTCATAAAGGCAACCAATTGTTTTAGATAAATAATTTCTAAAGCAAGCGTATTTTTCGAGATAACACAGATTTTAGCAGGTAAAAATTTCTGCAGAAATGATTAGTAGACGAATAGACTGAATACTGGAGAGAAGAATGTAAGTCATAATGTAGGAAGAGGTCGTATTCCCATCATTTATACATACAAGGTATAATCAAATTTGGTTTCGGTAACAGGATTTCATCATGAGGAGCTGACATCGGTTACAGAACTATTGGAAAACCACTACTGGAGCACTGGGCAGCCATCTGTTTCGTCAACATAGTTTGCAACTGTGCTTCGGTTCGAACCCACGGCTTTCTGGTTACAAGGCGAGCTAGCTCGTAGACCATTAAGTCACTAGCACCCAATCCAATGGCCAGCTCATGAATTCCAACTCATAGAGCGACTGGCACTAGCTAGCTAACGTCATCGATGGTGAGTATTTGTCCTCACACACCCGACCTGGTTTTATCAAATAATCGACGTTATCTAAGTTAAGGCTCACAGTCCACGGACAACGTGTAAGCTGAACAGCTGTTGATGAAACGCGTGGCTTACAAAGGACATTTCAAAGTTGAAACGCTGAAACCGATTTCCACTTTCATTGTAGAATGCATCAGTAAAGAACCTAACAAATCTAAGCACACTTCAGTTGTTGAATTTCGGCTTAATCAATTACCATTGCAGACTACTGTACAACAAAATGCCACGTACCATTAAACTCAGTACTATTCAGGAAATGTTTAAGAAGCCTGAAATTTGACGGACTTGTTTAAATAATGTTTTTTCATGGTTGCCAGAAGAAAAAAAGTCTGGTAAATTATTCAACAGTATCATGTACAGTAGATGTTAATTTATGCGCCACCAAATTGGGGACAAGTTACAATCTTACAGTGACAATTCATAGCTCATCTTGAACTGAGTCGAGTGAAGTCGGAAATATAAAGGGAACCACCTATTACTGCAAGTATGTTCACGACACGTTTGTAGTTTGCAATAATATGGATCACGCTTCCACGGTGTTCAAAAGCCTCATACAAAATTTACAATGGATCATAAAAGTGACAATCCGTTCCACTTCCTAGATCTCAACGTAAAAAGAAGAAATGATGCGACAATTGACAAATCCATCTATACGGAAGATACTTGGACTGGTCAATACTTGAATTATCATAGCTTTCGCCCAATCGGCTACAAATAGAGCTTGGTGAAAACGTTCTTCAGCAGTGCTACGGTGTTGTGTTCAGAAGATAAGATCGAAGAGGAACTCAGAGCAATCGAAAATGGATACCTTCGGAAGTTTATATCAAAACAGGGGAAGGAAAAACCACTTAGACCGAAACCCGAAATAGTTGAAAAGAAACCAAAGGCAAGGAAGTATCTATAGGAACGGAAAACAGAACTAAAGGTGCATTCAAAAGAACATTTCCCGTCGCCGCCAAACTCATTCCACTTTACAACACAGTATGCGCGTTAACCCAGTCAACTCCAACTGAATTCACCAGTACTTGCGGCATTAAGTACATAGGAAGGACTGAGAAGAGAGCATCTACTAGATTCTCCGAGCATATCTCTGGAAGCCACCGTTTGAAATGCAGGAAAGTGTTCTCAAGAGCAATTGTCAGACACCTAATTGACACGAGAAATAAAGCGGAAATTAGTCAGGCCTTCAAAATAATCAATCACTATCATTAAAAGACTTCGACTCAACCTGTGCACACAGAAAGATAGTGTGACCAATATCTTACTATCCTACCTGGTAACCGTAATTGTTTTGTTTTTGTGCTTTTGTGTTTTCTCCTGTTGCATAGCATTCCACTCAGCCTTGATTTTAAGTTTCCAAATCTACTAAATTATTTTATTGGTTGAAGGATTTCATCATGAGCTGACATCAGTTAGAGAACCAATAGAAAACCTGGGAGTACTGGATATGGACATGAATTAGCAGAAGTTAAAATTGATGGGCTGGCCATTGATTCGGGTCCCAATGGCTGAATGGTCTACGAGATAGCTCGCCTTGTAACTACAAGGTCCTGGGTTCGAACCCCAGTGGATGAGTACTGATGAAGCAGAGTCCCAAAGTAGGCTGATGAAGCAGACGGTTGTCCAGTAATCGACTAGTGGTTTTCCAATGGTTCTCTAACTGATATCAGCTCATGATGAAATCCTCCAACCAATCAAAGAAAGTAAAATCCCTGCAAAAAACAACCAATACTTGTAAATTATTTATCTATTTTATAATTCTACATTACTATTCACTCCCCCACCCACCCTACTGAACTCTTCACCAGAATACGTATGAATTTCACTCTGTTGTTCTATCCTCCATCCTGTCTCTAGTCCATCCTTGTCTCCAAGCGAAATCACAACTCCACTCCACTCCCCTCTTGTCTAATTACTATTTAAATAGTTACTCCATTTTAACACTACATACATTGTCTACTTAATTCACGTTGGAAATTATGTCGCTTATACTCTCTACCTATAACTTGAAGTCATTGTGAAGCAGGTTGGTTCAGACACCATTTTGTAATATAAAGTAATAATTGATTTATTTGGGATGTAGGCAGTTGAAGAGAGAGAGAAAGAGACAATCCAGGAAATGTGTTTTTCTTCTTTCTTTATTTAAATCAAAGAAAAAAGTCACACGATCAAACATTTCACAAAAACAAGAAGGAAGGAAGAAAGCTTTACAGTTTGAAAAAATAAAGTACACAATTTTACAGAAGAACTTTAAACAAATTTAGTCTCTCTTTATATAACCAGTTGATTAATTCCTCCCCCCCCACATTAATTCTGTGGGAGAAGTAAACGCCTCAGCGCATATCACCCAAACAATTTTTTTCTAAAAAAAAAGCATATTTACTCTTTATCTTTCCGTCGTTTCTTCTCCCTACGCTTCTTTTTCCTCCGTTCTTCATCAGTCATATCTGAACGACGTATTTTATGCATATCCGGTGATGGTGGTGAGGAGTTCGTTTCCATTGGTATAACAGGTGACATTGATCTAGAGGAGTTCTGACTTAATGAAGATGGATAAGACTGTGTAAGATGCAAATTGTGATGTTGGTGATGATGTGTCTGTTGTTGTTGTTGTTGCTGCTGCTGCTGTCCGTAGAACTGATGATGAGGGTGATGATGATGATGATGATTACTGTAGACTGGAGGCACAGATGTACTGACAGGATTATTGGTATTCGATGGGTGAATAGAATGAAGTACAGGTGGATTCGATTTAGTTGGCGTGAGATTCGCATTAACTGTACCACTGTTATATACAGAATTCATACTGGATACATTATTTTGATTCGAATGTGGTAATTTCTGTCCTAATGAGGACGAGGATGATTGGTGGTGTATAGGAGCTAAAAGTGGAGGCGGGGGTGGTGGAGGATCTGAAGATAATGTTGGTATAGACGGTGCTGATGGAGCGTGAGGAAGTGAAGCAGGAATAAGACCAGGTGGGTGATCTACTGGTTTATTCATACTGACAGCTTGACTGAGCGAGCTATCTATGCCATGTAATGATTGAGTTGACTCAGATACATTGTTAGGTAGTGTCACCGCATTAGCTACACCTAAAGATGAAGGAATGCTGGGCGTTTGTGACGGTAATTGATTTGACGACAATGGTGCTGCTGTTGTCGGATGTACTGGTCCTAATTGATTATAAGAAGATGGTCCAGTGAAAAATGATGCAGGGCTGGCACTAACATTCCCTCCAATACCTGATATACCCATAGAAGAACTACTATCACTTCCAGAAGCAAGGGTTCCACGGTGGACTTCATGTCGACGACGTCTACGGTGAGGTAGTCCAGAACCGGGTGCAGCTGTAGCCGGTATACGTGAACCTACTACGCTAGCACCACTTGCGAACAGCTGTTGTTGTTGATCTTGTCCATTAGGCTGAATATGTTTTGGTGGTGCAGCTGCAAAAAGAGAAGAGTATTCTTGAGGTAAAGGTCCGGGATGCAATCGAAAGGCATGATCTAATTGACTGGGTGCAAACGGTCTTAATTCCTTTCCTCGGATTGGCGGTCGCTCAATTAGACTCTAAAAAGTAGTCAGGATAAAAACACAAAAAAAATTAGCAATACACTATTAAATGCAAAAATTACATTTTAAATCAATCGCAAAACAGCACATAATACACCAGAGTACAGACTCTACAGATAAGTGCCTAGATTATCAGACTATAAACTAGATTAGGCGTATAGTGTTAGATAAGAATAGAAATTCTATCGATGAAGTTGTGAACCCAGAAGATGTGTTACGCATACCAACCAAGCCAACGCCTTCCTTGACAAGTGATGTTACCTGAAGTTGAATCAGACTGAGAAGGCATTGAAGGGCACGAAGTAACGATGACATTGAACATTGTGCTGCGACCTATGTTGGTACATTGGTGTACCTTATCTAACTGCTATGCGTAAAATAATTAGGAATCAACAGCTGGAGACTTTTAGTGAAATCTTCCAGACTCTTCACCAGCTCCACGATCACTCATAAACTCTCATCTCTTTCTGGCACACTCGCCTTCATGTCACCTCCGGACTCAAGTTCAACTCGTTGTTTCCCACTCGGCTTCTATTCAACAGCTTGGCGTGTGGCGTGTCACTCAACGATCTCTACCTGTATTTCTCCAGGATATTTTTTGGTTCTTCGGGGGGGGGGAGTTCACAACTTGTCATAGGCTCCTTGTTGCTGGTCATTTCCAGCCGTACGGTTTTCAGTATCAAGCCGGCGAAGGCAGCTGTTAATAAAACTCTGTAGTATCCTATTGGAAATGCTCGTCATGAGGTGCGCGCGCGCGTCAAGTCTTTGAACCATACAGAAGCGGTGACTTGACATCGGTGTTACAAAAAAGTCCGAATCGTATTCCTTATGCTGAGAGTGTGTGTTAAATTTCCACAGTGATTTCAGAATTATGAAGGCCTGTGTCTCGGTCTCACAATCTGATCCTGGCTGGTTTTGACATCTTCATCTGCATGCCGGCTGTAGGTGAAACGATGTTGCCTAGACAGGTGAAAGAGACAATTTCCTTTAGATGCATTCCATTGATAGTGATTAGATTAGTGATTGTTGGCTGTAGTTGTTTAGGTATAATCATCAACTGTCTTCATGTCCTAGTGTTAATAGCTTTTGCCTATTTAATGCAATCAAATTAAATAGAATGCAAATATTTACTAAATAATTGGGAGATAGGCGTCTACTGTTGCTTGTGAAAAAAACTGAATTAAATACTTAAAAATACACTAGTTGATTCAGCTGGTAAGAATTTCAACGAAAATTTGTATTTGAGAGTAAATTTAAACATAACACATTGTGTACACTCATTATAGCCATTGGTAATGCATGTACATTCAGATAACGAGTCCTGAATTCCACTGTTAGTCAAGATCAGCCAAATAACATGATGGCTTCAAGTTGATATTCCTTTTAAAACAAATTTTCAGTAGTATATTAGAGCTGAACACATACTCTAAACATGATCTTAGCTCAGAGAGATAGACGAGAAGCAACTCATGAACTGGTGATCACCGCCTGAAACTCGTTCAAGAAATACTACCAAAAATCACAGAACTGTCAGTGAACAATAATCCCTCCAAAAAAAAATTGAAGTCTTAAGTCTGCAATAAAGCTACTGTAAGCCAGTCAGAAAGGACAGCAAGACCAGATAGAATTCCTCGTGAAGCATTGAAAACGGACCCAGAGACCGCAACGAATATACTCGTGTCGCTATTGCAAAAAGATCGTAAAGAAGGAAAGGTACCTACTGGTTGGAAAAAAGGCTACCTTGTCAAGCTATTAAAGACGGGCGACTTAGGCATATGCAAGAGCTGACGAGGTATAATGCTCTTGTCCACGCCACGTAGAATACTAATTTGCATCATCCTGGAGAGCATGAAAAACACACTAGATTCAGAACTCCATCAGCCCGGGACAAGCTGGATTCAGGAAAGGCAAATGATGTGCTGATCATATTGCAACTCTACGCATCATCACCATCATCATCATCGAAAAAAGCATAGAATGGCAGTCAGACCTCTATCTCAGCTTCATCGACTTCGAAAAGGCCTTCGACAGGTAGTGTTAACCAAGAATTTGGAAACTACTTCGACAATATGGCGTCACCCAAATCTTTATCCACCTCATTCAATGGCTATATGACAATGGTATGTGTCAGTTTATCCACAACGGAAAAGTTAGAGAGGCGGCGTTTGAAGTCAACATAAAAGTACGACTAACTAACGGTGATTAGTGGTACTGCCAAGTTTTATCAATTCTAGCAAGCAAGCAAGAAGTTCTAATCTGTGTGTGAAACGCTGATAGAAAGCCAATAATGTGTGGTCCGATGATAATAACTGACTGATTTTCAACATAGAACTTAGTACAGAAGTAAAGCAGCAGTAGTCCAAGTAACGGCACTTCATGTACCACACAACGGTACACAAAAGAGAGAGAAAAAATGATTCAAAGGAACTAAAATAGGTGGAAATGCGACGGGGAATGAATAGCAACATGGAAAGCCACGAGAATTTAATGTATCTGAGTGGACAGAAAGAGTGAATGAATCTATATGATGATCCATATATATGATCCATATCACCAATAATCTCCTCCAGCTATTGATTCTTAGCATGTGTTAACGGCTCAATCACGTGGTCTATATCTGGCTATGTGATTTAAACCAACTGTCGAAGACTTCATAAACCGATGCTAATTTTTGGTTCGACTATATCCCTAACGGGTTGATCTCTGACGAAATCTCAGTACGAATACAGAGGGCTAGTTTCGCATATGCCAGTTTACGCCGTCTCTGGCGTAGACGTGATATCCGACTATCGACCAAAGGGCGTATGTACTGCTCATCAGTCCGCTCCGTCCTCCTTTATGGCTGCGAGACCTGGCCATCGAGAGCGGAAGACATGAAAAGATTAGCTGTCTTTGATCATAGGTGTCTGCGTTCTATCTCCCTTGCCAAGTGGTGGCATAATAAGGTGAGCAATATTGAGGTTAGGCGTCCAGTGCTAGGTAAGGAGGGGAAATCAGTTCACGAAGTTGTGAAGTAACATCGACTGAGATGGTTAGGACATGTGTTACGCATGTCTAGCCATCGCCTTCCTCGACAATGGGCAATGTTAGCTGACTGACAGGATCAGGTTCGAAGAAAGAAGGCTAGTGGTGGTCAAATCAAAACCTGGCACCAGTCAACGAAATCCACAACAGTTAGTCTAAGCCACGTAGGAAGGTGTAGACTTCCTGACTGGTTGGGGTCCTCGCGACGGTAAACACCAATGGTTGGAAACTATTGGTGACATGGCTCAAAATCGTTCTCAATGGCTGGCGCAGATGCATCCACTCCTTGTGACTTATGATTTCCAATTAAACTGTTTTGTTCTTCGTTATTACTATACCTTTGTCTCACACCTCTGTTTACTGTCTATATTATGCATTTCTCCTACTTTCTTCTCTTGCTTTGTGTGCTACACGGAGGGAGTGTGGCGACTTGAACTGGCGCACATATGTGCAAAGTTCTCTGTCGAAAACAGACATACAGACAAATCCCTAACTCTTTCCAAACCTAATACTATGTTTGCTAGCATTGCTTGTCGAGGAAGGCAATGGCTTAGTATACACAACACGTGTCTTAGGCATTTCAATCGACTAGCCAAACCAAACTTTTAACTATTTGGTATACTGGCAAACAGTCCTGTTGTTTGTTTGTTTTTTCAATTTGATATTTATGTGTCAGACTTTCACATTGTGAATAGAGTTTGAGTACATGTAGTCTGTTGAGAGCGATAAACCATTTCTGCAACTCGCCAATTTCTATTTACACATTTATGTGTGACGATTATTGAAAAGACTAGTAGCTACAGTGTCAGAAAGGAAATAAAACTCATATAGAACAAAACTTATGTCTCACATTGTGAGAGAAATATTTTTATACAGATATATATAAATATATATTACCTATTGTGTAATCAGGCAATTAAGAAAATTACTTGCAAAAATGTCAATTTCATATCACAAGAACATCATACAAGAGAAATACGCCTACTACAACTTACCATTAATCCACTCCCGTCAACCGAAGCTGGTACATCAATATTTCCAGACAGATGAGGTAGGAAAGCACTTAATTCTTCTTTAAGACGTTTACCACAAAATTTTTGATAGGCATTCTCTAAACCATAATGTTCAATAAGATTTTTAGCGCCTGTCAACGCTGCATCCGGGGCCGGTGGTTCAGTACCCATTAAGTAGAAAGGTTCACATGGTGCAACTGCCCAATTTTGTCCTCTGCCTACAATCTTTAATTTATTAATCCATGTGGCTGATCCTGTATTTCCAGTTTGTAAACTAGGCGTAGAAACATTTGCAGCAGAGAATGCAGGCGAAGGATTCATAATACTTCATGAGCTAAGGAGCAAAGAATACACTTTTGTTAGAAAATTGTTAAACTATTCTATTTTTTTTTTTAAAAAGTATACTGATTACAAAAGGTTCAGGTCATGACAGCTACGTAATGCCTTACTTTTCATATCCCACAGTTGGCTTGAGTGTAAACCCAAGAAGTAAGAATGATTGACCGATTCTCAATCAGAATTCACACTAAACTTAAAGGAAAATAAGCAGCCTAGTGAAACTTATTTTGATGAGAAACAGTGATCGCAATGAATGGAAGGGATCCAAAAGAGACTGTCGTTTTTTGATTTTTTTCAACAACTACAGGTAGGCAGCACACATAAGAATGTCAAAGGCATTCATTATTGTGGAATTCAGCACAAAGAATAAGATCGAGATATTTAGCACTAATGACAGTGTGAGGAGGGAGCATTCTCTTTAAAAAATTAAAACAATTAGTTCCCTTTATGGATTTAGATAAAGCGATAAGAAGACGTAATTTTTCTGAATCGTGTGTGTAATGTATTTGCGTGCATAACATTTCGAACAATCGGATCCATTACACACGGACTTGTCATAGGAATGTACATAGAATTAATAAAGAATTAAGAGGTCAGAAAATAGACTTAGGTCAAGTTAAAAGAACATATTAAAGGTCAAATAACAATGACGACCACTGAACCAAATAACAGAGGTAATAGCACATCTACTCTGGCTAGTATCAAAACAAAGTTTACCAAGGAAGGTGGTTCAATGTGATGACAGATTGTTGCTTTGAACACATAAAGATGGTTTAAACTTCCTAACTGGCGGCTAGGGCTCCCACAAACTTTAGGATACACCCTCCCCTAAACACGTTTCATAGATAGGTTTAGAGACGTGTTAACGTCAATTTTCTGTCCTGTCTCTATAATATGTTTCTCAATAGAGGAGCTAGATTTTCGTCTGTTCTCACCGTCAGTGGGTTCTGGAGATTCTATTTGTTTCTGGAGTCATTTAGGAATATGCTCTGTAGCCAGCCCTTACTTTCAGAGATCGATGAGCCCTCCCTATTTATGTATGTTCACACGTACCTTCAAATTGGTAAATACAGTGGGATGTGACATCATTTTTCTCATGTTCAAGGGGCTTCGATGGATGGATATATTGGCTTCACATTCTCAATTTTTATGATATTAGCTGCATAAAAAGTCTTTTTGACAGCAGCGTTCAGTCTTTGTCTAGTTATCAAGATGCTTGGATGCTTCATATAGGATAGCTTGATGTACACGTCCTTCTCAGGGGCGAGTTGGAGAGTGGGTCTTGGTGTTCTGACTACTTTATATATCCTGAGGAACTTGTCTGGATAACTGTTATCAACCAGAGTTTGTGTTAACTTTCTTTCTTCTTCATCAAGTGTGACTTCAGTGCATATTCGTTGGACACCTTACTAAGGCTCTTTTGTACCGAACAGGGCAGAAACTGTGTTAATAAGATACTGTCCTGTCCAGGTAGGTTTTCTATAAATAGATATTTTTATTGACCCATCAAGCCGTCGACTAAGCAATATGTCTAGGAAAGATAAAAGATTATCTTCCTCTTCTACAGATGTAAGTGATATCCTATTGTGAACTTCATTCATTCGATTAACATCAAGCTACCTTATGTGGGGCACCATAGAAGCTTGATAACTAGACAAAGATTGAACGCTGTTGTTAAAAAGACTTTCTATGCAGCTAATATCATAATAATTGAGAATTTGAAGCCAATATATCCATCCATCTAAGCCATTTGAACACGCAAAATATGATGTCACATCCCACTGTGTATTTACCATTTTGAAGGTATATGTGGACACACATACATAGGCAGGACTCACCGATCTCTGAAAGTAACGGCTGGCTTCAGAGCATATTCCTAAATGACTCCAGAAACAAATAGAATCTCCAGAACCCACTGATGGTGAGAACAGACGACCTAGCTCCTCTATTGCGAAACATATTATAGAGACAGGACAGAAAATTGACGTTAACACGTCTCTAAACCTATCTATGAAACGTGTTTAGGGGAGGGTGTATCCTAAAGTTTGTGGGAGCCCTAGCCGCCAGTTAGGAAGTTTAAACCATCTTTATGTGCTCAAAGCAACAATCTGTCATCACATTGAACCACCTTCCTTGGTAAACTTTGTTTTGATACTAGCCAGAGTAGATGTGCTATTACCTCTGTTATTTGGTTCAGTGGTCGTCATTGTTATTTGACCTTTAATATGTTCTTTTAACTTGACCTAAGTCTATTTTCTGACCTCTTAATTCTTTATTAATTCTATGTACATTCCTATGACAAGTCCGTGTGTAATGAATCCGATTGTTCGAAATGTGTTGCGCAAATACATTACCAACACGATTCAGACAAATTACTTCTTATTGCTTTAACTAATGACAGTGCTTCTATAGAGTTCAAAGTTTCGGCGCACGCGTCATCAAAGACACTTCGAACAGCCTACTGCGAATTTCTGTCAACAGTTGCCTTCACTCGAGATTGCAGATCAGATGACCAGTCAGAAGTGATGGGCAACAAGGAGCTATGGCAGACAGGTAAAGTAGTAACCAATGTATATGGCGAAGAGGATGGCGATGGATTGAACGTAAGCTAAAGAGACCATCAGATGATGTTGCATGCCATGTTCTCGAAAAGAATGCAAATGGCAAGCGACAGATAAGATGTTACTTCGAGGGTGACATACTATAATTCTTTATGCTCCAATTTTAATCATAAGTGAAAACACAGTTTTTTGTTCAGCGAAGAAATTTCTTTTCAACGACTTCATTTTCAAGCTGTACAGTCGTATTTATATTACAGAAAAGGTCATTAAGTGGCACTAAATAATTGCTCAGTCAATATACATATATGTGATAAGAATAACGATAATTAAAATGTTATAAGGGGTAGAGTTGAAGTGGATAAATTACAAAATTATTAAAGATTGTTTTATAAGTGAATTGAAAAATGTTTTAAAATGTCAAGTGTTGTCTAAAAATTTTATAAAATAAGAGTACGATTACGATAAGAATGAAGATGTGAAGTGGAAAGAATTCAAGTGGTAAAATAAAATAAAGTAAAAACTACAAAGAACATTACTATGACCAAGGTAAAGAAAGGGGTTTGACAAAACTTTTTGAACACATAATTTAGGTTTCTGTTCATGTATAGCTAAAGCTTCGGCTATGCATAGGTGAAGAAAATGTAAACTTTTGGATCGATTCGATTTTGCCATGTAGATAACTTTGAAAGATGAATCACGTGGGGCTAAATGACCTGACTCTAACAGGTGATCACAGATAGACGACTTCGCAGTTCTACGTTCGCCTTTCATTAACTAGACTGGATAGTGTTCAGCTACACGTTTTCAGAGATTACGCTTACAACGTCCAATATAAACAGCTCCACAAGAGCAGGTAAAAGAGTAAATACACATGGATGTGGACAAAAGCGGTAATCTATCCTTGACGCATTGTCTAATCATATTTCGGCTGGTAAAAACTAGTTGTAAGTCAGCTGCAGGAAAAGTACGTTTAATACATTTAGATAAACGATTTTTAATCAATTCCGAAATGGTGTCACCTTTGAATGCCAGACTCATAAACAGTTTCTTCTTTGGCACTGTAATTTGTCTGGGGGCGTGTTCTTTCTTGATATTACGTTCGATAAACCTTGTAGGATAACCATTATTAAGGAGATTTGATCGAAGCTTATCTAGTTCACTATCGATTGTCTCTGCAGAGCAGATTTTACGAATTCTAGAGCATTTGCATTTGAATATCCTATCTCTCGGTCTGAAGTTCTCTACTTTTTCGTTCAGAGTCAACGAATTAGACACAAAAGTTCAGTTTGAAAATCTCATGAATCAAACACAGGACTTGAGTCCAACGTCTAGTGAAGACGTTGAACAATTTAAATCTGCATTACTTCATTGTTATTACCAGTACCAAAGAACGCAAGGCAGACAACGACATATGTTATCAAACGAACACAAAAGACAGCTTAATGAATTGCTTAACAACAAAAACATAATACTGATTCGTCCAGACAAAGGATGAGGTATTGTCATTCTTAATCGTGATGACTATGTCAACAAATTATGTACCATTCTGAGTGATGAAGAAAAATTTCAAAAATCACCCGATCAAAAAGACAAGACAGAGAATATTGAGAAAGAATTATCAAAAACTTTGACAAAACTAAAGCAAGAATGCGTCATTACTCCATATATGTTTGAACAGCTTAAACCACCTGGTTCAACTATCCCCCGTTTATATGGTCTTCCAAAGGTACACAAAGGTGATGTCCCTCTGCGACCTGTATTGGATATGCTGAATTCACCGTATCACCCTACCGCTAAATGGCTTGCGGAAATTCTGGAACTAGTGAGATTAAATCTATGTAAACATAGTCTTTCGGACACTTTTGACTTTGTCAGTTGTGTTGATGAAATTAATGTGTCTGGTAAGCATATGATTTCGCTAGATGTTTGTTCTTTGTTCACAAATGTACCACTAGTAGACACTATCTGCTATCTATGTGAGTATATTGATTCAAATAGCATGAACATTGGGTTACCAACTGAAGATCTTAAACAACTATTATTGAGATGCACACTGAATGTGCAATTTAAATTTAATGGTGTCATCTTAGCGGACGTCTTCATGGCTAGCTTAGAGAATGGCCCACTAAAGGAAACCATCGGTAGTTTGTTTATGTATAAAAGATATATGGATGACACTTTCATTGTATGTGACGAAAACTATTCAACTGCTGAACTTCTTGGAATATTTAATGGTTCTCACCCATCTTTGCTTTTCACGGTCGAATTCCTCATTTCACTTCCTTGATGTAAAGCTAGATAGAAGAGAGAATGGTACGTTGCTAAGGTCGATTTACCGAAAGCCAACATTCACTGGGCAGTACACTAGCTTCAACAGTTGGGTACCGTTAGGGAGAAAGAGAAATCTTATTCATTCCTTATGCTCTAGAATTCGTAAAATCTGCTCTGCAGAGACAATCGATAGTGAACTAGATAAGCTTCGATCAAATC